CCCCCCCCCGAGGTACTTTGGGAAGAAAGTCCTGGTGATCTGTTACTTAAGGGTCATAGCCATTGAAAAACTTACGGCATGCAGTTCTACTCTGAAACATATGGGTTCACCATGAGCCGGAATTGACTGATGCCAACTTGTTTGGTTTTTTTGGTTTATATAAGTCGGGAGGCCACTACTAAGGGGGACTTACCCTATTAGATTTCAGTTTTCAGCTACCAACTAAAAGGTTGAAGAACCCCGTTACTGGTAAACTGATTCTACTGGCTCCATTTCTCTGCAGGGATCTCCTGTTGCCTTCTGGTGTAGTCTAGTGGAATGTATTTGGTCTGGTAGTTGCTGTTTAATTTGATTCTTACCTGGGGTTTTGTTTATATTAAAGTGAAAGGAGATGACCTTCAGACCATTAAGAAGGAGTTGACCCAGATAAAACAAAAAGTGGATTCTCTACTGGAAAGCCTGGAAAAAATTGAAAAGGAACAGAGCAAACAAGGAGGTAAATTTTTATGCTGTTTATTGAGTCTAAAGTTGGGTTAGTTACCTAAGATAATTGAAAGTATATGTCGGAATAGTGAGGTATAAAGCAATTGATTGTGAAACTTGGGGAGTTGAATTTGGAAAGGGCATTTGTGTGGGAGGGTTTAGACTTGTGCTGCAGTTCTATGATCGTTAGTGGGGATTGTCTACATCCTGTGGACATTATTTGCCCCTAGACAGACTTGTCCTTTTCATCCCCAGTAGAGATGAAGAATGATAAGTCAGAAGAGGAGCAGAGCAGCAGCTCCCTGAAGAAAGACGAGACTAATGTGAAGATGGAATCTGAGGGGGGTGCAGATGACTCTGCTGAGGAGGGGGACCTACTGGATGATGATGATAATGAAGATCGGGGGGATGACCAGGTGAAAACTACGGGAAAGGAAAGAAAGAGGTGGTGGAGGGGGGATCAGGGACACATGGAGTGCCTCTAACTCCATCCTATTTGTGTCTGTTTCTCACAGCTGGAGTTGATCAAGGATGATGAAAAAGAGGCTGAGGAAGGAGAGGATGACAGAGACAGCGCCAATGGCGAGGATGACTCTTAAGCACATAGTGGGGTTTAGAAATCTTATCCCATTATTTCTTTACCTAGGCGCTTGTCTAAGATCAAATTTTTCACCATATCCTCTCCCCTAGTATCTTCAGCACATGCTCACTGTTCTCCCCATCCTTGTCCTTCCCATGTTCATTAATTCATAATGCCCTGCGCCTAGTCCCATTTTCACTTCCTTTGATGCTCCTAGTAGTTATGTTAAGTCTTATCCTGTAATTTTTGCTTTTAATTTTGATACCTCTTTGACTTAACAATAAAAAGGATGTATGGTTTTTATCAACTGTCTCCAAAATAATCTCTTGTTATGCAGGGAGTACAGTTATCTCCATTCATACATGAGTTCAGTAGTTGCTTCCCTAACTGCAAAGGCAATCTCATTTAGTTGAGTAGCACCTGAGAGCAGCTTTGAGTTAGAGGTATGTGTGTTATACCCCACGTAAGAGTGCTGTGTGGGGTTGTTCAACACAAATGTAACAATGTATTTTTTGTGAATGAGAGTTGGCATGTCAAATGCATCCTCTAGAAAAAATAGTGTAATAGTCTTAAGATTTGTTTTCTAAAGTTGATACTGTGGGTTATTTTTGTGAACAGCCTGATGTTTGGGACCTTTTTTTCTCAAAATAAATAAGTCCTTATTAAACCAGGAATTTGGAGAAAAAAAAGAACCTGGTTTTTTATTTTTGTACTTTATAACTGTTCACTTCGAATTCTTTGTTTTACAGCCGGCCTTCACGAAACCCCTAGAATATACTAGATATGTTTTGCTTGGAGTCATAATCATTGTGTATACAACATACACTACTCAAATTTAATTTCACTGGGGGAGGATGTTGCATTAAGGAGACAAATAACTTTGATGTGGAATGTAGATTTTTTAGCAAAATGGCTTTTACACCCTATAGGAAAGTTTGGGAACTCATAGTTTGCATTTTCATCAGTGTTGTGTGGTCTCGCTGACACCCTTTTTGAGGTTTTTGTTGTGTACTAATTTTGTCCTTATATTTAGAAGATGCTCAAATATGCCGAGATTTCAGTAAAATTGAAACAGCTGCAGAATGAAATATTTATTTTCTTTCATTTTGCTCCTTTAGTTATTATTTATAAGCCTGTTAGCTTCTCAGTCTGTGCCTCAATGCTACTGAAAGTAGGAAAGCTCTTTTCTGATCTTCTGTAGCCTGTGCCTACCCAGGTAATCAAGAACACAGTGAGGGCTATAAATCCATTTTACTTTCTATCAAAGAATATATTAATCACGTTTCATCCATATGAGTTTTTGCCAGTCCATCCCAACTTCATTAATTACAATGACTTTTAGGCATGATACTTTGTAACTAAGGATGTATTTATTCAACAGCTGCCAGAGCTATGATGATCTAGTCCTGAAAGGCCCAGTTTGTTTTATAGTTCAGCTTTTCTAATAGGGCAAGAGAAAAACATGGTTAGTTTGACTAATTTCATGCACACAAGATCGAATCCCTCAGATAGTTGCTGTTTCATAGCATGCAACAAAGGCAGTCTTTGTATCCTACCTACTGTGGGCAAGGACAGGTGTGGAATAGCCACAATCTGTAAAAGTCATGTCCTTATTTCTGACAAAGCAGAGTGGAAGCACGTGGCTAAACTATGAACTTAAACCCATTGGAGCCAAGATCCACAATATAAGTAAACTTCTCTTGTATGTTAATTCACAGTAGAACATACTTCAGCCCATCCAGTGGTCTGATCTGATGTGATCTCATGTTACGCAGACTCTCAGCACATAACCCATGACAGTGTAATGAACTGGGTGCTTAGAAGAAAGTGTAAAAGTTCTAAGTTGCTAATAAAACCTGCCTGTTGAAGATAATAGTAATGTTAGTTACCAGTATTGAAAAGATACTGGTGAAGTTAGTCCTGAACTGAAAGTGTCTACTTTTCCCTTGAATATACAATCCCCTTCCTAGCACAGAAAGTTATGTTTAGCTTTTATTTCTCTCTTAGAAATTCTATGTATGTATAGGGTTATTGTTATAATATCAAGATATATCTAATTCCTCTTGATGGGGAGGAGCCATTTCACACACTTAAGGTGACGGAATTAAGTTTCCTTGTAACTAAGCGAGTAACACAGGTATATGTAATTTAATACTTAATACTACATATATCTACATATATACGTACGTTGCCATCAAGTGAATTCCAACTCATAGTGACCCTATAGGACAGAGTAGAACTGCCCTATAGGGTTTCCAAGGAGTGACTGGTGGGTTCAAACTGCCAACCTTTTGGTTAGCAGCCAAGTTTTTAACCACTGTGCCACCAGGGCTCCATATATAGATATACTCTAATATTTTGAAATTCAGGCTGCTAGGTAGTATTGCAGTAAAGGAAACGATTGAAAGCGCATATGATAAATTATTTTTTAGATCTGACCAAATGCGGATGTTAATACGGACTTTGTTATCTGTGACATTACTTAACCCTGGGCTGCAGCAAATGAGATTGGAGTTGGTTGAGTAGAAGTTACAGAGGCAGAGCAGTAGGCATGGTAGTGCAAGTAAGGAGGAAGTATTTGAAGGACTTATTTTAGAATTGGCTAATAATTGTTCAGAGAGAGTTGTGGGTAATTTGACAATCTGTGAAGCCCTGGTGGCACAGTGGTTAAGAGCTACAGCTGCTTACCAAAAGCTTGGCAGTTTGAATCCACCAGTCACTCCTTGGAAACCCTGTGGGGCAGATTTACTCTGTCCTATAGGGTCGCTATGAGTAGGAATTGACTCGATGGCAACGGGTTTTGACCATCTCTAAGGGGGCAATACACTATTGAAAGAAAGATTTAAAACGTGAAGAAGGTTTGTTTGGGTATAAGAATCAGAATAGTGGAGTTTCTCAATGTGCCATCAGATTTAAGAACATAAGCCTTGAAGCTTATAGGAATGCATTTTCCTGCCAGTGTTGGAAAGCAGGAGAGAAGGCTGGATGATTAAAAGAAGTCCCTCAAAACATTTCTTTCTGATGCTGCATGATTTGTAGTTGATAAACTATTCTTCGGACCTTACTGGCTTAGAGTACTTTAATGTGCTGCTGTCTTACCAGTGGAAGGAGCTAACTGAAAGCTCTCAGATTGGAGTGGAGGGTACATTAGAAATGCTAAATAAATAAGAGGACCATCACTTGATTTACATTTACGTGACTAGATGTTAACCTCAGTATCAAAGACGTGCAATTGTGAGATTGGTACCATCCAGTTGGGTGCTAAAGCCTCTGTTTTACAAAGGGAAACAGGTGTAACAAAAGGAAATTAATAACAGGAAGAAAAAGATTGTGAAAATTGGAAGGGGAATAAATGGAGTCAAATGTGGATTTTGAAGAATGAAATGGAAAAAAATACAGCCAGCCATTTGAATCACATGGTAACCATAAAACATCAATACCCAGTAGACCACTTAGCAGCAGTATGTTTTGTCCAAAAGAATAAGCTATGGGAAGCAAAGCCCAGGAGTGAGAGGTAAAAAGTAAAGAAATGTGACAGATGCTAAACAACACTTAACATGTACTGTTTGAGGTAACCTATATGAGATGATGAGATGCTTTGTGGAAGTAGTTGGGGAGTAGGGAAATAGCTGTATATTTAATGAGATCAGTCTAAAGATGTACTTTGTTCTGGGGACTCATGACTGGCCTGAGACAGCATTGACCACTTACGTCCTAGTTGTTTGATTGTCAGGAGAGAACCAGGAATCATCATTGACTCTTACAAGGTCTGAGAGACAGAGTCAGCCACATACTCTTTACTGACAGTTGAACTTTTTAATATGAGGAAAACTTCAGCTGCACAAATGTCAAATGGGGTTTGAATTTGTGAACCATATTTAATGATCACCTTGACCAAGAATAAAGTGCATTTCACTTTAATTTTAGAGGATCAAAGAAAACACACACTGAGAACTCCAAGAAACCACTTAGCAATAAATAATAAACATAGATTAGGACATTGAAATGAGTAACCAGTAAATGGGATTATCAAGAGTTGCTAGTTGCTGTGGATTCTACAAAGTCAGTTTAAAGAACCTTATCAGTGGTGTACCTCACAGAGAATAGTAAGCTATAGGAATGGTGTTTATTGTGACTAAGAGGAGCGCTGTGTTATAGAATCTTAATGTTTGGAAGGATTTGGGAATAAAGTAAAAATGGGGCCAGTTAAGCTCAGGGGGGTTGAAAAGTTCCAAATTTGAATTTCCATTAAATTAATCCTAATGAAGTAAAATAATTCGAGGAGAAATCCTCAAAACAATATGCGGTTGCACTAGTAACTTCCCAGTTACAAAAGGAAAAAAAAATTCCAATAATGAAAAACCTGTGTAGAGAGTGCTAGCTTGGAAATCACTCCCCACCACTTAGATTGTTGTTATTGTTAGCTGCCTTCGAGTTGACTGACTCACGGTGACCTTACGTACAATGAAACGTAAACCGGTCCTGCATCAAACTCATAATCACCAGCATGCTTCTCGAGTGCCAGTCCATCTCACCGGCGGTCCTCCCACGCCCTTGTTGGCCTTTTGCTTCACCAACCATAATGTTCTGTAGCAATTGATCCCTCCTGATGACCTGTCTAAAGCAAGTGCCTCGGACGGTGTTTGATTGTGATCCATAAGGGTGTTGTTGGCTAATTTTGAGAAGTAGGTGCCAGGCCTGCCTTCCTAGTCAGTCTTAGTCTAGAAGCGCCTCTGAAGCCTGGGTGACCCTGTTGGTATTTTAGATAACGGTGGCATACCTTCCAGCATTACAACAAACTGACAGGTGAATAGTTGACCACTTGGATCAGGAATACAAAAAACCATGGGAAGAGAAAAGGGGATAATGTAATGGGGTGAATACCAAAGATAAAGCATTTAATAGGAAGGAATTGAAGCCCAAGATGGATGGAGTTAAGGCATATTGCCCTTATTTCCAGTCCTGTGCATGTCGGATTATTTTTTAAAGCACCACACAGGAATAAAAAAGGCTTGAGGGAAATAAAAATGTCCCCTACTGGCCTTTCTCAAACCTAAAAAAACTTGCTGCAATTACAGTAATTAAAATTAATATCAAATTAGTGAAGTTGCTGAGTGGTTCTCAAAGATAGTTGTCTATTAAAATTAGCTAGGGGAGCTTTTAAAATCCTGACGCCCAGGCTTGTACCCCACACCAGTTAAATCTTTGCGGTTGTAACTGTGCCATCAGTGTTTTTAAAGCTTCTGTAATTCCGATGTGTTACCAAGATGGGGAGCCACTGCACCAAGGGGCAAAAATTGCTGTGTGGAAAAGGGGGAGGAGAGGATTAGGGAAGGACATAGGGTTTTCAGAAAGGATGTCTCTGGGTGACCAGCTAAGGAAATTAGTAAAATCAGGCCCATGCACTTGTGTGGGTGAAGACAAGTGTTTGTAGTAAGAAAGGGTGGGTGGTTTGCTTTATTAAGAAAAAGCAGTCTGGTAAGAGAGTGAGAGTACTTGAATTGAAAATTCATGCACCAAAGGATGGAAAGCACCTAGGGAAAACTGGGTAGGGTTAAAAGGTGAGAAAAAAACTAGAGGGAGGGAGACAAAAATCCATGTTCTCTGAGGTTGCAGCAAAGTATGCTAAAGTAAGCCTACCAGTCTTTTAAACTACAGCATTGATCAGTAGAACTTTATGTGATGATGGAAATGTTTTATAATCAACCTGGTGGCCACTAACCACATGCAGTTACTGAGCCCTTGAAATGGTGGCTAATGTGACTGAGAGTTTGAGTTCTAAATTTTATCTAAATTTAAGTAGCCCTATGTGACTGGTGGCTGGCTCCCTTATTTGATAGCACAGTGCTAGAAAATACTGAGCAGGTTCTAAACAAGTGAAGATCTGGTTACCAACTCAGGAATTTTTGTGAATAAATGTGACTGCTTCCAAGGTGTTTGATGACTTCATTTCATTCATAACCCATACTTCTAGACTGTAGGTCCTAGACCCTGTCATTGAAAGTTCCCTAGTATGAGGACATTTACAACGGAATTATTGCAGGCCTAGCCCGTGTTGCTCACACCTTCATTTAGCAGTCCTTTTGGAGGATAGACTATTTTTAAAATAGGATAGACTGTATTTAAAATTATCAATTGGGTTACCCAGGCTCCAGGCAGATACCATTTACAGAATGTTTTATATGCATCCAGCACGATGCTAGGCAGGCTTTAACATATAGAATGTTAGATTCTCACAGCAATCCTATTATGTATAGAAGTAGTTACTCCGATGTTACAAAGAGAATTAAGTATCTTGTTCAAAGTCAAACGGTATTTAAATGGTGGAGCCAAAATTTGACCCTGTCAGCAGCATCCATAGATTTTAGACCTAAGGAGAAGAAATGGTGCCTCTGAACCCAAGTTCTGAATCCTAGAAAATGACTAAGCTATTTCCAAATTACAGTCTTCGCAGCTTCTGAAACTTAATAAAAGGGGAAAAATATCTCTGTACCATTTTCCTCTCCATTCTGTCCACTGAAGTGGTTCATAGTTGCAAAAGCTCATTATTGGAAAATGCTTGGCTAAGAGCTGAAATGCTACTGTTTATGTGTCATGGTTGGGCTTCAGAAATGCCGCAGGAATTACAGAGTACAGCCTCGTCCTTAGCTCCTTCTGGGGCACCCCGAACCTCTAAGTCATTTTTTCTAGTTCAGACAACATAACCTTTCCAAGTATCCTACAAAAATCACTCTTCATCAGGACAATACTATGACAACACAATTTCTTTCCTGTTCCTTGATGCTCGAATGGCCTATTGTACGTACTTGGTAGTGCCACTGCAAGAATATCCTATATCAAAGAAAGACTGGTCTTCTGCAAAGGAGCTTCTTAATGTGAAAGGGGTACGGTAACACAGATCGACTCACCTTTCCATACTCACACAAGCCATAGTAATGAATTTCTGGTGTAAATGAGACATAAGCAAAAATTATTGGTGGGTCCTAGAATCCATTCGCCAAGTTCAATGACAGAAACCCCCACCCATTTCCCGCTTGGCCCTTGGTTAAGTTTCATGAGTTCCCATCCAGGCTTAGGAATCTTCTGTGGAGCATAAGCGTGGGTGCCTGATACACTTTTTGTGTTCTGTCCCTATCACAAAGAATACTTCCTTCAGAGAAACATGAATTGGATCCTCAAAGCCCCTGTTGACCCTGCTAGGGAAATTAGGGCTTGTAATGGGGTGAAGTAGTCTGCTAAATAGCCAACAGAAGCCAAGCACCAGCCCAACTTCACTGAAACCCATAATATTCCTCTCTTGGCTTGGAACTTGTGGGGTTTTATTGTTTCCTCGTCTAGCCAAACCTGCCTTTATCCCAGAACTTCAACTGTATACACTCTCCACAAAAGCTGCTTTTGTAGTAGCAGCTAGGGCATTCCCACCCAAGGTCCCAGAAGCTGTTGGGGTCTAGTTGTCAGATAGTTGTCTGCATAACTGCTAGAAATGCAGCAGCGGCCTGCTCTGTCCTTGTCAGGTCCTCCATCCTGGACTCGCTTTTGGCATTCTTCCCACTAGGAGTGTCCCAATTCCCTGCCTTACGCAGTGAGAGGAGCAGCCTTTGGTAGAATCTGGCCCCCTGGGGAAATCTGGCAGCATCCTCACTTACTCCCTGTTCTCTGACCACTTCAGGAGACAGCCTCAGTGTTTTGCTATTTCTATTCCCTCTCACCTGGGAATACAATCCTCATCTTTTCTTCTGGTGGGTCCCAGGAACTGTACCTAGGTATGCATCTGTACTTGTTGGTTGCCCTCGAGTCGATTCTGACTCATTGCAACCCCATGTTTGCAGATTAGAACTGCTCCCTATGATTTTCAAGGGTGTGATCTTTCAGAAGCAGATTGCCAGGCCTGTCTTCAGAGGCACCTCTGGGTGGATTCGAACTACCAACCTTTTGGCTGGTAGTCAAGCACTTAACTGTTCGCGCCCCCCTCCACCCCCAAGGACTCCCCTGGGGTTTTCCTGTCTCCCCCTCAGCCTGTGGACCAGGCACATGGCAGCTCTCCTCAGTAAAGGTTATGCCGCTTGTCCTTTTAAGCACCCGCTTGAGGATAAGGATATGCCTCTGTCCTCCAAAGTATTAACCTCCCAACAGAGTTTCTCTTTCCCTAGGAATCTGCTGCCTTCATACAATTGACTTGAGGGCTAATTCTTTAAAAGGGAAACACGTTGTAGTAGTAGATCTCTACAGGTCTTGAGAAGCATTGTCCTAGCTTTGGACTATCTGAGGAGTTCTAAGTTTTTCCACACAAATGGCAGTCTCCTGCCTACCCTGCACACTCTTTTTTTTTCATTTTTCCCACCTTTCATTGTCCTTCTGATGCTATTTTGCACTGAT